TTGAGTGAATTGACAAGAAGAGAGTTACTAACTGGAGGAGGGAGGGCAGGTGGGAGATGGTGGGGCTGCCTTTCCTCTTGCTTCCGGACATCCTGGGCTCTGATTGAGCACTGTACTACTGTACACTAGTGCACTGCACAGTAAGCACACAGCAGCACAACTGTGACAATGTCCGGCAGACACGTGAGCTACTTCTGCGATTTGTTTGCAACTCGAATGTTCGAAAGTCGGGGACTTACTGTATTTTAAAATGTTGTTTCTTCTGGTACTTACTCCCTTATTGCTAAATAATATAACTATACTGGTATATATATATTTTTTATACTGGTATATTTTAACTTAATGACTTCTTATTATGGAAGATAAAGATTTAGTCTTCTTATGCCATAATCTCTCTAACCTCTTCTTTATCCTCCCGATATACTTTGGGAGGATGTAGAATTCTGAATTAGAAATAATTTTCTCATAATCTTGGAGGCCAAACTGTATCTTAATGAATTCACTGTAGTTCCTAGGGATTGCCTCTTTCCTTCCGCTGTAATAAAATATCCCATTCTTTTAATAGTCGGTTCTAGAATCTTGTATGCCTTTGATATTATGATTGCTAGACTACACCAACTTCCTCTTTTTGAAAAGCAAAACAATATTAGATCATCCACAATCCCCTTGGACTTCTGCTCTTCTCCATGATTACTAATCTCATTTGTCAGTACCCTCAATGTAATTAATATGGTCTATTTGGGGCACTTTTAAGAGAGAGCCCTGATCTCATCTGACAAAGTGACATTTAAGCTAGATCTGAAAGATGAATAGCAAAGGCCTTAGGAAAGCATTTCAGCAGACATGGTTGCATGTGCAAAAACTGTCAGAGGAGAAGGAACTTTGGGAACTCAAGGGATGAGAGGCGCTTGGTGAATGAGGGGGAGAGTAGCCCCACCAGAGGCCAAACAGGAAGGCAGAGGTCAGAGAATTCAGGGCCTTATATGATAGTAAGGCAAGATTTGGGACTTATCCTAACAGCAATGAGCAGCTACTGAAAAGTCATAAGCAGGGGAGTGATTTGATCTTATTTGTCTTCCAAAAGTTTCTGTGGTTGCAGTGTAAAGAATGAATTGGAGAGGGCCAATAGTTAGGAAGATATGGGTAAAATTGGTCTTAAATACACATTAAGGCCAGCCTTGGAAGGGAGAAAGAAATTTCAAGTGGGCAAATGGTAGTCTCATAAGGTATATTTGAAAGCTCAGCAGAGACAGTTGAATTTCTTCAACATGCTGATGGCAGTGATTTAGATGCTGATATAACAGGGTCAACTTTTTTCCTTCTTTTTTTCAGTATTAGATGGAGGAAGTGGCTCCTTTTTACCATTCCCTTCCTGCTGGGTCCCGAAATCTCTGATCAGCTGACTGACCCCAGAAGCAGTTTGCTCCTATTCTTCGCAATCGTGGACTGCATCCGGTACCCCAGAGATTGTTCTGCCCATTTTCCATGGTGAGATTTCTGAGGGGTTGAGGTAGAAGGTGGGAAAGAACAAGGGGGTCAATAGAGGTGCTTGCACAGAAATGGGGCAGCATGATTAAAAAAGTCAAGAAGAACACTTTCCCTTCCCTTTATCCCACAGTAAGCATTCTATCTACTCAAGATATAATAAGAACAGAAGACTGCTTCTTCACAATTCCTGCCTGCAGGAGACTGGGGCTTCTGCTGCAGTCAGCTGATACACCACAGGAGTTGGTGTTATATACCACAGCTTCTGACAGTTTAGGCTGGAGGAAGTTAGTTTTTGCAGTTCTGTTTATGGAGTTGGCCAAATGAAAATGCAGGCTAATGGTCTGCTTTTCATAGTCATTTATAACAGCTTTCTACAACACCTGGGTTTTCTTTAGAAACTGTGAAGAGGCACTGAAAAGAACAAAAATAATTTCTTCTTGTCTTAAAAACAAAACAAAAGAAAGTAACTAAAGGATGTGAAAGTAACTCTAATTTCAGGTTGTGTTTGGACACAGAAGAAAATTACCTTGCAAGAAATTTTATGTTTTGCTGAGCATATTTTAATTTATGTGGAATTGCATTTTTATCGTCAAGCAAATTAATATGGACCCATGAGTATAGGTGTTGTGATGAAATAAATTAAGAGGACCTACAGATAGTGGAATTATAATAACAAATGAAAATATGACAATACTGCTATTATCTTGGAGGATGCTAAATGCTTTGCATTTTAGCTGGGCAACATGGCAATGGCATGTGAGATAATACTTACACAATGGTGTGTGAGAGAATACTACAAAACAATTTCCAGTTCTTTGATTTTTTTTTTTTTGTCTACGGCTATACCACCCTGAAGGAGCCTGATCTCGTCTGATTTTTTTAAGTTGACCTGTTTGAATTCACAAGCAAATTACATTTTTCCACTCATTTAACTTTGTTAAAGCAAAGTACATTTTTCAATTTGTGTATGAAAGGATGTTACTTATTATTTACTAGTAAGCACTTCCATCACCGAATGTCTAAATTTATTTTCTATTACCTATTTTATTGATAAGAATGCATTTGATAAGGATTGTAGAATTACGCCTACAACGAATGAGACCCCCAAATTCCAGCATCTAGAATAGAGCCTGCTACATAGTAGGTGTTCAACAAATAATTAGTGAGTTAAATTAGATTAGTTGCATATTCAATAAACGTAAAGCCAGAAAATAAACTCTATTTGAAAATAAATCTTTAAAACAGTAGATGGCAGGAGCTTAGATCCATTTTGCAATAACATATAATATCCCAATATCTGACTAATATATATATATATACATATATATATAAACATATATATATATATATATTTAACATAAATCTCAAAAAATCATTAGATATAGCCTCAAGTGAGCAAACCGTCGGAACCACAATTAGGGAAAGAACTGGAAACGTATGGTTTTACTTCTTGGAGATTAGGACAGTTTGGGAACATATCTTGTCTCCTGCATTTGAACGTCATTGGGGATGGGCTACTCGCTCACAGAAGCCAGTTCAAATTTCATAGGGTGTTTCTGAAGATCCTTTTGGGGTTTAAGGTTGTTCAGGCTGCCTCCGCGCACACCGCCTGTGCGTTGGCAGTGTGACCGTTTTCTTAACTTGCCCTGTACTTTCTCACCCACCTCTTCTTCCACGCTGGACTTTGCCTGGCCTCCTTTTGTCAGCTGCTGTAAAGCCTTCCCACATGTAAAGGTCCAGTTTAATCTTCGGGCGCATTCAGGAAAGCTTAACAACCCCCTTTTCAGATGCAATATCGCTCTCCCCTATTTTCTGAACCTCTACTCCAGCAGCCATCGTTTTCTAACGCGGTGTTTTTGCACATGGGCATCCCCTGATTGGACTGTGGGCATCTTATTGGGGAGGTCTTTCGAGAATTCGCCATGTCCAGCCCCTAGAAAGGTGCCTGGTACAAAGAAAATGCCCGGGTTCGCTGAAGTGAGCCTGAATCCCTGAGACCAAAAGGAGAAGAGCCTGTGGCCAGCAGTAAAGGCCCTTCACGACCTGAGGGGAGGAGACCTGTGGTGTAGCTGTACCCTGTCCCGCAGCTCAGAGACTGGCAGGAGAATGTGGCCCAGCAGAAGGCTCGGCTACTGTCTCTGAATTCCCTTTACTTAGTTCGTTTTACTTTATAGAGGAATCTGAAAAGTTCAACAGCCTTGGGGCAAGCCATAAAGGGCGGTGCAAACTGGGTGAGGTGGGGGGTTGGGATGCCCAGTCTTGTTGCAAGTCTAGACTCAGTTTTCATGTTTCACTTTTCAAGATTCGTAAATTCCAGTTGTAAACTAAGAGCCCGAACACGTAGAGGGTGTCACAACTTTTGCGCCCTAAGGAAGGCTCCCAGCATTCCGGATTTTGCCTCATTTATCCCTCTCACATTTCCCATCGAGGGGAATCTACAGAGCGCTTCGGGCTTCCTCATCCAGCCGGTCCTGAGAAACTACGATTCGGCCCCGCGGTCTTAGCCGCTTCCTCCTTCAACCAAACCCAGTACGAGCGAATGGGG